ACCCTTACTCAAATGTATTTCATGTTATTTTCCTCCTCCTTAGATAGTGTTATCCTACTATTAGTTAGTAGGAAACCATATCATTGGATGTGAAGGGACATGTGCGGGTCATCGTACAATCATTGAAGGCAGCTCGTAGGGGCGCTTTAGAATTTATCATTAAGGAACTAGATCGTTTACCGAAGGCAGCATCGAAGGGTCATCGAGGGACTACGATCTTTTTAACCGAGGGTATTTGCTAAAACATCCCCACGTTCGAGGGACATGATTGTTATTCTGAGGCAACAAGTGAGGTTATCCTAGAGGTACGCGTGTGAAAAGTGATTCGATTCAGTTACTTTATATTTGATTAGGGTTTTCTACGTTTGCTTTTATGTATTGTCATACATGCCTATTAAACTAAACATTTATAAGAAAAGTGGTAAATTGCAGAAAGCAAAGGTGCAAAAAGTAAACCTAAACTATTACAAGGCTTCGGGAAAGGGGGTACAGAACCAGAAAATGGGGAAAAAAAGGTAAACCCTAATTACCTATTACAAACTATAGCCGTTACATAACTGGGAAAACTAATGCAAAAGTAAATACACGAAGATGGTAAAATAAAGAGAATAAGAAAATTAAGAATCGTTTCGTAATCGTTTGACGAAAAAGTTTTAATAATCATCCTAAAGCCTAATTGATTTTAATTAATCGAAAAAGTTAGGTAATTAATCGAAACTGATTATCCTAATTAATTTAATAAATAAAAAAATCAAAATTAATTTATTATAAAGAAACTAAACCTGATTTGTTTTAACTTTGATTAAAGAAAAGTAATTAAGGTTATTAAGAAATTAGGGTTAATAAAAAAGGGAGAAAATAGGGTTAGTAAAAAAGGAGAAAAAAGAATGTTGGAGGTGAGTGTTGAACTCATGACCCCCACCTATCCAATATACACGCCTGCCAACTGAGCTATGTGCCATTGGTGCTGGGATAAGCATCCAGCACGTTTTGTATCAAACCTGCAAAAATATGAAATATTAAAGAAACAAAGTGTCAAAAGGCTGGATCGAACCCATGCCCTTTGATAATATGCCTTATCATGCAAACTTATACCATTGGGGTGGCTATACATCCATTAATATAATTGAAACAAATAATATAAATGTAAAACATGATGATATTGATCGGAAAAATGTCGGAGCCCTAGCTCCGGTGAGTCTTTTCCCTATTCCTGCATAACAAACGTTGTTAAAGATCAAAGGGGACCTTACCACCCTTAAATCCAAGGGGTGTATGAATGAGTTGTGAGGTGTATAAGGATTATAGTGCACATTTGGACTCTTAAACCATGGCCCAATAGCCCAAAATATCAAGCTTGCTCAATTTGAACTTCATACGTTTGCTCAAAATTTCCCAACTTGCAATGGTCATAACTCACTTAATTTTTATCTTTTGAATATGATCTTTGACTTTTTGGAAAGCTAAAGATGTCCTTTACAACCTTTAAGTTTATAATTTTTCTTTTAAAGAATTTATCTTTATGTAAGTTTCCTTGACAAAAAGTGTCTTTTTGTTGACTTTTGAAATGACCTAAAATGTATTGGCTTATATCTCTCAAATAATGCATTTTTTGGACTTGAACTTAGAGAGAACAAGTTTTAGATAATTGAATTCCCTTAAAAATGAGCTTTGGTTGGGGAAATATGATGAAGCATGTGAAAGTTATGCTTGGTCAAAGTTCAGTTGACTTCTCCTAAGGAAACCCTAATTTGGCAACTTTAAACTTTTGATGATTTGAGGGCTTTTCTTGAGGAATCATGATCGACCCTTGATCAAATGATGAATGTTACTTCAAAATGTTGATGTTGACCAAAAATCTTGAAGTTTGACTGTATATTGACCATAGTTGACTTTTTACCCAATACAATTGGTTTTTAGCCATCTGAGCAATTAACTGGACAAACTTGTGATGCAAGGCTTGAAAATTGATATGAACATCCTTGAATACATATTAGGACCCATTAAAACCACTTGAGACCTTGTAAACTCAATCTTCCTTGAGAAATACCAAACCCTAGTTGTGGACTCATTGCTTAGGATAGGAATTTCTCTGATAAATTCTTGAGCCACCTTAAACATTTGAGGACCTCATGAGAATGTCTTGAAGAAAAATGGGAGGTCAAATTTTTTGGTACAACACCCTTGCAGGGGAAAAGTGATGCCACGTGACGCTATTTATTCAAAATTATCAAAGTTCACTTTTACAATTTATTTTTGACAAATGAATTTTATTTAAACTAAAGTAGTGTCTTTAGCTCGCTATATTCCATGTCCTTGGAACCTCCTCCCATTTTAGTCTCTCTAATTTATAAGCTCAAATGGATAAATTCTATAGTACTATGTATGATCCTTCCCAATTGGAATGTAGCTTACCTTTCTTTGGAAGATCCATCACTTGCTTTAATATCAGGTTGCATTTCTCCATTGTTCTTGGCCTTACTTTGGTGTTTTATCTTCTTTCTAGTCTTTTTGTTACTGCATATTCCTGGATATGAGACATTTCCAAGACTTCTTCAACTAAGTCTACTGAACTTTTAACTCGGCTTGGTTGTCTCCTTCGTATAACTACTCACATCACCATGTAGGGGTGTTGATCTCCACTGGTAGCATATTGTATAAACCATAAACCACCCAGAATGGAGTTTCCTTGGCTGAGGAATGATGGTTCATGTTATAATACCATAGTTAATTGTATATTTGTTCGGCTCGCAACCTCTTGGCTTCATCTAGATTTTTCTTCATACTTGAAAATATGACCTTGTTGACAGCCTCAAGTTGTCCATTTGTTTTGGGATGCTCAGCCGATATAAATTTCGTTTGAATTTCTAAATTTACACAGAATTCTATCATGATTGAGTTGGAAAAATGTGTCCCATTGTCAGAGACAGTGGTTTTGGGTAGGCCAAATCGAAGAATGATATTCCTTCAATAAACATTCCTTACTCTTTCAGCTGTTATTTTGGCCACTACTTCCATTTCCACCCACTTGATGAAATAGTCAACCGCGACTAATATGAATTTTAGTTAGCTCAGGGACAATATAGTTAGATTTGGTATGTCCACACCTCACTTGTAAAATGGCCACTGCGAGATGAATGAGTGTAGAAACTCATAATGGGGTGTGGTTGTAAGGTGCATGCATACATATGACATTTGTCGCTTCTGGCCAATATTACCGAACTCTTAAAATCTTTCTTTCTAATTCGCTCCCTTATATGTGGCTTCCACATACACCTTTGTGCACTTCAGCCAACAGTAGATCTACTTCTTCATTAATGAATCACCTTAGTATGGTTGTTAATCTCCCCATTTTATAGAATTGGCCCACCACCAGAACATATCGAGAAGTGAGCCTTCATATCTTCTGAGATTCCCCCGCTTTTGCGAGCAAATTCTCCTTGGTTAAGTATTTAATTATGGGGGTCTATTTTACCCCCAAAATTTTCCCTCTTTATATGCATATTGTAGCGGTGAAAATCGGAGATCAAGCTATTAATTAACTTGACTCACAAAAGCAAGAGTCGCCATCGTGCTTTATTATTTCCAAGGGAAAAGGGAAAAGAGCGAAATAAAACCCTAAAATATGCAATGTAAAATAATACTTAAAAGTAATCAAATACAACGTGTTTTTGAAAAGAGATCGAGAGTTCGGGGGTTGGTTATACAATGGGAAGGTATTAGCACCCAATGCATCTGCGATACTCCGCAGGAACCTTTTGAAATATATGTTTTTTGGTTAAAATTGTTTGTTTGGTTAAAATGGTTTGTTTGGTTAAAGATGGGTGCGGATGAGATTTTGAAGAGACGACGACCTAGTATCGAAGTTTTAACTTACAAAAGGGAGAGTTTTAAAATTGAGTCTTTTAGAAAAAATTAACTTGATTAACAAAATAATAAAACAAAAATGAAGGCAGGTATTCGCTTAATCGTATAATATGTGTTTGATGACATGAAGTCAACAAAGTTGGAACATTTCCCTTGGAGTAAAACAAAGACTATAGACATAACATTCACCAACAAAGAAAATTATAAGGGAATAGGCAAACAAATTAAATGAATAATAAGGAGAATCAAATGTGAAGACAAAGAAGGTAAAAGTGTGAAATAGAGATATAATTAAAACAAAGAAATATCCAATCTAAATTAAAGTTCCAAAGTTATCAAAAAGTAATTATAAACTAACTAAAATTCTAAAGTTACTAAACTAAATCTAAATCAAATAAAATTCTAAAACTACTAAACTAAATTTAAATCGAATAAAACTCTAAAGTTATTAAACTAAATCTAAATCGAATAAAATTCTAAAATTTACTAAATGAAATAAAATTCTAAAGTTATTAATTATGATTCTAAATATTTTAAAGCTATAAAATAAATCTAAACTAATTAAAAAATCTAAATTAATACTAAACTAAATCTAAATATAAGATTTACTAATATATTTTTATATTTTTTTTTGGATAACATAGTTTAATAAAAAATGAAAATAGTAGAAGTCTAAATATTTTTTTACATGGGATTTTTCAAAAGACAGGAGGGCAAATGGACTATTAACCTTAAACATAACGAAACAAAGTTGTTACTGCAACATACACATACATGTTAAACACTTAATGAAAAGGAATTAGAAGAAATATTAGAGTTTAACCAATTCAACATTTGAGGCATCCTATGGGCAATTGACACGTGGCATATTTAATTAAAAATAAAAGCAACAAAACAACATAATACACACCTAGAGAGAGAACGAAAACAACCGCAACACATTGAATGGTTCTTCTTCTTTCTCATACAACAACCTTTTCTTTCAAATTCTTTCAAATTCATAACACAAAAACAAGAATATAACACATGAACAGGTCAAATCAGAGGGAAAAAGAAAAGGAATACCGATCAGAAATTGAACGTGAGTGGCGGCCTGGCGTGTTGTCCATGTCGAAATCGGATCCGGTAATTGGATGGATGCGCGTCGATTTGGCCGGAACAACAACAAGGGTGTGTGGTGGAGGACCCAGGTAGATTCACGGTGGCATTACAGGAGTGGTGGTGGTCGGTTGCGGTTCTGGCCGGAGCAGATGAAGGGAAGCGCTTGTGGGTATGATGGATCCGGCGTGAATGCGGAGGCGGGGGTGGTGACTTCACGCTTTCGATTCCGTTCTTCTTCTTTCTCTCTGAGTTGCGGCAGGTATGGCTTGTTTTGGCATCAATGACGAAACTGTCGAGATCGCATATGTGTGGGGCTTGCGGAGCTAGTGGCAGCGATTAAGAGCGGTGGAAGGAGAAGAGGTTGAGACTGATTTCTATTGGCGACAGCTCCGAGGTTATTGTTCTTGTTATTTCTCTTCTGCACAAGAAACAAACAAACACACAAATTTTCCAGATTTTTTATTTGAATCTTTTCTTCATGTTTTTGAGTGAAACTATGTTGTGGTTTGAATGGTGTTACGTTTTTACAGGTTGAAATTAATGGTTTGTATTTGTAGTGAAAGGGAGAAGATGACGATAAGAATTGTCACTGAACATGTAGTGTAAAAAGGTGCGAAACATTGTTAGAGCGTGAATATTTTAATGGAAGTCTGTGAGAATGGTGAAGGGAATTTGGTTGAAAAGTGGTCGTGAAATAGTGGTAGAAGAAGCATGAAAATCGAAAACCATTGTTAATGTTGTTGTCTTTTTGTTGTCGTTACCGATATAGAGAAGTAACATGGATGGATGTTGCGTCTTCTTCTCTTCTGCGTGTGTGTGTCTGAGTTGTTGTATTAATCTTGGTGATTCTGTTGTTTTACAGTGGAGTGGGAAGGTCTATGGAGTTGGAGTTATGAGTATGAGGTGAGTTATATTGAGAGATAGAACAATCTTGCCCATTTGAGAAAGGAAAGGACTTTGGAGAGATGAATGTGTTAGAGAGAGGTAGGACTTGTTGGGTCAGTGTAAGGTGTTGCGTTGAGAGAGATTTTTGTGAAAAGTTTGGTTTGAAAATGTTTACATGTTTGTTGATTTGTGAAGAGAAAGGAGAGGATTGGTGAGAATGTGTCTGTCCATGAAAAAAAAACAGAGTGAGGTTGTGTGTGAATGAAATAGAAAGTGAGGTTGAAGTGGTGACAGTATCGATCCTCAATTTCATCCAACAGCCAATGAAAATCAAGCATAATATATTTAATATTTTTTGTGACTAAAAGGCCCTTTAATGACAAAAATAAAAATAAAACTTGAAAGTATATAAAAAAACTCAATTTAAAATGATTTTTTTGAATATTTTATGAATAAAAAATAAAGACCCAAAAATGACCGAAAATGATAAAAAACGGACGAAAATTTATCCGAAAAAATAAAATGAACACATTAAAATAATCTACATGTCACAAAGATTAAAGAAAAAATATTCAAGAAGTCAAAATCAAAAATAAAATAATAATAAAAATATCAGACTAAACAGACGTTTAAGGTTAAAAACGAGACTTCGAACTGTACCGAAAAAATAAAGCGAGCATACCGTCATAATCTACGCGAAACGCAGATTCATAAAATGATCGGTAAAAGGTGAAAACTTGAAATATTTTCTCGCTACTTTCCCGCATAGTGTCGAATCGCTTTTAACAGTCTGTCTATAAAACCAAAATATTTTTATTATTGACATGTAAACAACTTGGAGCAATGCAACAAATGAGTAAATGGATAAAAATGCATGAAGCAAAATGCCGGGTATTTTACAACTGAAAGACGATGCAAACTTTGATTTAAACTGACTTTTTCTGATCAACTTAAATACGACTAATGATGCAAAAATGTGATGAATGAAGATATTTACCAATGATCGTGACCAAATGACAAAATATGGTATGAATGTGCGACTGAAAAAATTAGGGGCGAAATTAAGGGTGCAACAGTGTGCCTTGATGAATCAGTCTTCGAGAATCCACAATCAACTATACTTCTGGCTTGGGAGACTCAAAACCTTAATTGAGGCGCGACACCTGATGCTCTTGATTCAGACCTGTCTCTGCACATGACACAAAAGAACATGAACATACACCTTTGTATGCGATTAGAAATTAGTGATACATATGCTAAAAATGTTCAAAACACTTGACAATCTTCGCATAGTCAAAGCTCGAAGGTGAAACGTTAAAATCCACCGTATTTCGTGACCTTGACTTATCTTTAAAAATGCAAAATAAAAATGGGATCTTAGGTCAAAAATTGGTGTACAACACATATCATTGGCTCTTGTGTGTGGGATCAAAGGTTTTTGAAGTTGATTAATTACCGACAACTGAAGAGGAGATTGATATTCAAAGGCTTAGAGGATTGGGATCTCATCATAAAGAGTATGCTTTTGATGCACAAGTTCAATTGGTTCAGAATATTCTCCAAGAATCATCAGAGGATTAGGGTTTGAGGCGTTGGTCATCATCTCCTATCTTTTTTGGTCCTCAACTAGGGTTTTGGTCAAAGTCAATGAATGATTAACTTTTTGAGCAAAACTTGATCCTACGAGGTGTTACTTACATCAAGGTATCCATACTTGTTTCATTGATCATCAACATTTCAACAGAAGGTCCACTTTGTTTGGAAAGATTGAAGATTGATTGGTATTTGAGCAAAAGTCAAACTTTGGTCAAAGGCAAGTTGTGACTTATGCTCTAAGCAAATTGGGATTCCATGAGTCAACACTTGTATCAAGGTATCCCTATGAGCCTTATCGATAAATAGAAATTATCAGAAGATTCAAATTGGAAGGATAAGAGAAGTTTTGATTGCATTTTGAATAAAAGTCAACAGTCAAAGTCGAAGTCAACATTTTGGATTTTTGGTCAAAATGAAGGTCAAAGTTCATATTTCAACATTACATGGCCATTGGTTGAGAAAAATCAAGAGAAATATGGAATTTGGAAGTAACTTGTCAAAGAAGTCATCTTGGACACTTAGAAAAATTCCTTAGTCAACAGATTTCCATGTTCATTTATCATTTTTCCAAAGATCATAACTTCTTCATTTTTAATCAGAAATTTGCAAATTTGTGATCAATGGAAAGAGAAAATTACATACTTCAATTTTTTCATGTCCAAAAGATTAAAGGATAAAAATTTATTCAAAGTGAAAGTGCAAGGATCATTCATTGAAATTATTAACTTAGTGAAAATTTTCGAAGTCATTCTTGGTCATCTTTTTGAACAATTTTCGTGGTAGTTTTTCATGGGTTTTTAAGCTTCAATTTAAAATGGTTCCAGCATGAAAGTTGTAGGGAATCCGTTTGCCTTTCCAAAAAAATCCAAGTTTGTATCATTTGGATCAAAATTGAGCAAAATTATAAATTTTTAAAGGATAGATCATTTTTGGTACCATGTATGTCACACAAACATGACAATTAAGCCATTTCAAGTAATAGGTCCATATTGATGTCCAAAACCTGGTCCATGATGTATTTCCCATGCATACCAACATCACAAAGTTTCCCAAAATGGTCATGCACTCCCATGCATCATCATGTACTCATTTTTACCAAATATACAAAAATTGGCCAATTCTACATAACTTTCTCTCCACTCTCTCCCGTGGTCCCACTTTTTAGGGATAATTTTCTGACATCATAAGCAAGCCAAAATGCAACAATTGATCCATCCATGAAGCCCTCTTTGAGAGGCATTGAAGTTAGACTCAAATAATTTGTTGTAATTTCTTGTTGAAGCTTTGCTTTCCAGATCTAATACATCATGTTCGTGCCTATTTTTATCTATGATTAAGTGGTTGTTTGCTTAAACTAAGAGCATGGTCGTGATCTACTCTTTAAATTCTTGAGTATGCTATCTTATTTTGTCCATTTTAGTGGAGATTTAAGCTCGAAAATGGATGATGAAGTTGGAAAAATCCACATGTTTAGGGTTTGGTGCATGAGGTTTTGGGTGGTTCCATGAAGAAGACGACTAGGTGTTTTCTCGTGATTGGGTGATTTTCTTGTTTTTTTATTTCATTTTCATTTTATTTTGTTTTTTTCACTTAAGTTGTAACATGACCAATTGATAAGGTCACTAAGGCACATGCATTTCGTAACATATATCCAGAAAATGATATATATTTGGGTTTTTCAATTCCACACCCCCACACTTTGATTCAACATTTTATTTCTTCTTCATTCTTAATTTTATTTTAATAGTTTCCTTCAATCATAAAAATCCCAAAAAAAACTACTTTTCTGGTTATTTAAGGTCTTAAGAATATATTGAAAAAATTTATTTTATTTTTCAAACCTCTTTGCTATTTTATTTTGATTTTAACTTTTAATGTGTTTTTTTAGTTTAAATAGTGTTTCAATTTTATTTTCAATATTCCACTAATCCAAAAAATATTTAAAAAAAATATGTTCTATGTTTTTGCGTCTCTTAAGATGGTTTGGGTGATTTTTATTTAATTTTCCCATTTGATTTTCTATTTGATTTTTCCATTTGATTTTTATTTAATTTTCCCATTTGATGACATGAAAACTTGATCTTGCCCCATTCTTTTGACACCATATAGACACATGTATGCCTAGGATTCACATCACAATTTTGTGAATTTTTGGTAGTTTGTGGATCATTTAATGAGTGATTTCTTCATGTCTCAATGTTTGCTCTTCTTATGAAACCCTAATGTATCGTTAATGATGATTTGAAATTATTTTTGAGTATGATTTGAACCTTGATTAGATGCTTGATAAATGATTGGTTCCATGATAATTTATTGAAAATTTGAGAATCATTTGATATCATTATGTGGAATTTCTTCGTGTCTCTTTTCTTTGTCTAGTTGAATTGATTTGTTTCTTTGACTGATGATATGTCCAAAGAATGCACTTGTGCAACCTTATAGGATTCTTCCTCACTTCTTACTTGATATTTTGTCATAAGTTAGGAGCCTTAATTTTATTCTTGTGAACCATTTATGTGCTCTAACTTGATACTTCTATAGCTTGCTTTCTTTGTGCTTATTTGCCTAGCTTTGAGATCATAGTCTTAGATATTGCTTTGTGCATTTCTACTTGGTGACTATGAGTCCAAATTAAATTGAATCTTTTTGATATTGCTTATGACTTCTTTGGTCTCGATGCTCTAATTGCATGCTCCTATGATTTGTTGATTAGCATTTCATTGCTAATTCATCATGATGACATTTTAGGAGCAAAATCCTTCTTCGCTTGACCTAGTTTTGATCTTAATGAATGGTGAAGCTTCTAAGGGCTTGGGATCCATATTTGGTATGAATGGTTGAATTTTGTTTCCATCTACTCTTAACCCATGCCTTAGTTTCTTTCGTTTCTTGTTCACTTGCCTTGATTGGACAATTATTCCTATCTTGGATGATATTGATCTCTTGCTTTGCTAGTTACCATGTGCTTTGAGTATGTTATCTTGTTGGCACTTCTTGAAGTTTAGGAATCATGATTTACATTTAATGATAAGATATGCTACTGCCTCCTCATGTTTAGGCAATTCAATTCTTGATCATTGTCTATCTTGCTTGATTTGATATAAAGGATTTCTATCTTGGGTGATATCATTGTTTGTTTATCAAGTTACTTTACTTTACTTTGTGCATGAAGTTTTGACAACTTTTCTTAATACTCTTGAACTCCATCTTGAGTTAACTTCTTGCACAAGTCATATATTCCATAGTGTCATGTTTATACTTTCATTACTTGATCATTACTTGCCTAAGTCTCTTTAAAAATTTTGTTTGATTGCTAGACTTTCTTGACCTATCTTTGGGTGATGCTTTGCAATTCTTTGCTAATCTTTGAGACTTGTTTCTTTGAGTGTTATATGATGTTGTTGTTGCCTCATTTCGCCTTCCATCTTGTATACCTCAATGTGCATTTGTATGCTAAGTTTTGATACCTGATTGCCATCTTGAGATTATAAATGCTTGTTCACTCCTTGTTTTCCTTTGTCTAGCTTTAGATCCATAATGTCAAAGCCTTTTGAGCATGACCCTTAGAAATATTGGATGTAAGTCATAAGTCTTAAATTGATGTACTCTTTTGGTTTGATTATTGGTGTGTGCACATTAAGTTTAACTTTGATTGCTTGTTTGCTTGTCATTATCATATCTTAAATTTGTCCGCCCATTTCAAACAGTCAAAATTAT